TTAATGTGTAAATAACATTGTTGACTCCATCAGCAAATATCGTGAGACAAATCTTATATTTGGAATGAACCACAAGTTGAGAAGCAAATTAGGCTATGGCACATATATTAGGAGTTAGTTTTTGTAAACTTTTGATTTCAAAGAGCACTGAATCAATTTTTACATGGTTTACTAAAAACAAAAAAAATAGTTTAAGAAATGCAAATTGTTCCATTATGCCTACAAGTAGCAGAAAGAAAGAGTACACTTTTTTTTTTTTTTAATCTCAACAGATTATTTCCATGAGCAATGTGCCTGAGAGTTCTGAATGAACATAACCTGTGGCTTGTTTGGGCTTCTAAGCTTCCTCTATGGCACCAAATGAAAAGGCAAAATTGTTTCAAAATGCTTAAAGAAAAACAATTTTTAGTTTAATTTACACCTCTGGTGGTCATTTAATATTTGACCCAGAATTTGGTAATGTTGGATGCATAATATATTTTATTATTTTAGTGTATAAAACTATTGTTTACTTCATAAACATGCATTTAATGGTATACATTTTAGTATTAAAGTATAGTTTTCCGCTTAGGCCTGGTTTTGAAGCTGGACTCTGTCACCATGAAGCTGTGTGACCGACGATGTGTTCTACTGGTCAGTTACTGAACAAAGTACGTAGAAGCGTTTGTGAAACTTTTTCTAAAGAAAATCGATAATGTAACAGCAAATTCTTTTTTGCAGGTAACAGCATGTAAATTTGAAGTTATGTCTAGTTGACATGCTAGCTTTTTCTATTTAGGAACTTGGACATACGGTAATACTAAGAGGTGAAAATATTTTTCCTTATTATGATATGCTTAATCTGTCCTGGTGAGTAGCTGAGCTTGTACATTTCTATACATCTATATTTGGTATTGTGATTCTTTACATTTCTGTTCAACATATGAAAAAATAAGAATAAAAGAATGATAAGAAACAACTTGAAGATGGAAAAAAGAAAATCGAGTCAAAAATGTTGGACATGATCAAATGATACCTCAGTACAATATTCTAAGATTTACTCAACATCTTAAATGTGTCATTTCTTAGCTTAAAATAATGAATAAAGACTAAACTAGTAACAATAAAATCAAGCCTTTAACCAAGCTTATTATTTTAATTATGAAGTTAGATGTAGAATGAATAAACTCCCCTCAATCATGATGAATCTTCAAAGTGCAGTGAAATCACACATGAAACCATCTCTCTTAGACAACTCCACAGAGGTATGATTGTTTGATGAATATATATGAATCTACTCTTGATATGCTTATGAAAGTAGCAGAGTACATATAGGGCTGAAAGAATTAGTGATAGAAAAGAAAATCCTATCTATAAATGTATGGGAGAACAATTTATCTTCAGTGACTGTTTTATATTTTAATGTAAATAGATACGTAACTTATGAAGAATGTCACAAGAGAATTATAAGTTTAATGAGATTTTTAAAATAAAAAAGGTTTATAAGCATGGCTCAGTCATGTAAGATCAAAAGTGATTAGCTGTAATGTCTTAATAAAAAAACTACAGTATTCATTTTTTTAAATCCTCACCCAAGGATAAGTTTATTGATTTTTTTTAACCACTCGGACTGCGTTGTCTCCCTCTTACTCTTCTAAAGGAAGAGGAGAATGATCATCAATGGCAATTAGCAGTTGCAGAAGCAACACCAAAAGGTGCCCACACCCACTCATTGACACAAAGTAATATGGTTCTCCATAAATGCTATAGATGTGGAGGCAAAAGCAAAAAAATATAATCCAAAATAGTTTACAATTAGTTTCCAGTATGACTTTAAAAAAAGATAAGCTAACAATAAGACATTTTTGTATTCTAAATTTTTTATTACAAGCGTCAAACTGATTAATAATCACTAGTCACGACTGCTATAAGCAATTATAATTTTAATGGACTGTTTGCATGTTGTGCAATAATGGTTTTACAAATTATTATTTTGTTGTAAAGAAATGTATTATTCAATATTTGCTCACTGTTTTATTGTTTATTTCTTTATCTGTTAAGGAGAGCAATATGAAAAGTACTAATATTTCATACATATTTTCAGCTGTTATAATTGAAAATATATCACCCTCAAAAATATGAATGCAACTCTTATTAATTTGTAAAATTGCAATAATGAACTGCTTGTTTCAATTTACCTTTAATATCTTTAGCCTGAATATCTTAAGAATAGCAAAACATACCTCTGTAACTTCATGCATATCTACAGTATACATTTTTTGTAACCCTCTCACCAAGGATACTTTTATTGATTTTTTTTTAGAAAGAGAAGAAGGATGAGAGGGAGAGAGATGGATGTGAAGAAACAGGAATCAGTTGCCTCCTTACTCACCATTACCAGGGATCAAACCACAACATAGGCATGGGCCCTGATCAGGGATGGAACCTGCAATCTTTTGGTTCACACGATGATGCTCCAACCAATTAAGCCACCCAGCCAAGGCTACGGTATTCACTTTTGTACAGAGAGTGGGAAGGCATGGCCAGATACATTAATTTAACTATTGCCAATTACTTATTTAACTTACTTATTAGATTTTACTTTATCTGATATACTAGTTAGCATGTTTAGATATATTAATTAAACTGTTATAATTTATTTTACTTTGCTTTCTTCCATTACTTTCTCTTACCTGATCTGTATAGCCTTACCTAATTGTCCCCCTTTTGCCAAATCATTCAATTTTAAAGTTCTCTTTGAGGTATCTTTATAGACTAAATATTTCCTTTTCATTTATTTATTTATTGTTAAATTTATTGAGGTGACATTGGTTAGTAAAATTATATAGGTTTAAGTGAATAGTTCTATGATATTGCATTGTGTGTTTACCGTCCAAAGCCATATCTCTTCCATCAGTCCCCATATATTTGACCCCCTCTACCCTTTATATACACCCCCCCTCTTTCTCTCTGATAACCACCATCTGTTGTCTGTGTCTATAAGTTTTTGTTCATTTGTCTTATTTGTTCATTTGTTGCTTTCAGTTTTATATTCCACATATAACTGAACTCATAGTTCTTGACTCTTTCTCTCTGACTCATTTTGTTTCGCGTGATATCCTCAAGATCCATCTAAGTTGCAAATGGCAGTATTTCATCTTTCCTTATGGCTGAGGAGTACTCTGTTGTATATATGTCCCACATCTTCTTTATCCAATCACTTATCAAGGGATACTTCAGTCATTTCCAAGTCTTGGCCACCGTGAATAATGCTGCAAACATTTCCTTTTATAATAACCCGTATTTCTCTCTTTCCAATTTACCTCCAAGAAATAGGAATCCTTACTCTGTTCTGAACTAAACCACACCTATATTTTTGACCATCTATTCCAAATCCTGTAGCTTTTTTTATCATAATTATCTCATCTCATATAGGGTTTCTAAATTCAAATGTGGGTATAAAGTTCTGAGAAAATATGGAAGATATTAGGTTAGGTAACATGAGAGAAAGGAGGATCAGGCATAAAAATATCACTGTCTCCAGATAAGGCTAGTGCTTGCTTCAAGCAAATGGTTCTGTGGGGGAATTGAGTTGTCAAATATTGTCAAAGTTTTCATTTTTCAAGAGTAGTGAAAATCTTTACTTTCATAAGGAATCTCCTAATTTTTAATATTGGCTTTTTTCTCTATACAGTTGAAATAAATCTCATTTGCTGACCAGATTGTATTAAAGAAGACATGAATTTATAAACTTTGTCATCAGATTCTACTTATTTTTATGTTTTTGTACTCCACCTATAAATGCATAACATGCTTCCTAAACTAAAAGCAACCAAACATAACGCCACTTGATATAGCTGTGATTTGATTCCATTTTCTCTTTCCTGTTGTTGCCAAAAATTTAAAACAGAATATTCTAACCATTTCTATATTTGTCTGACCCTTCTCTTTAATTTTCAGATGTTGTTTCAAGTATATTTCAAAATGTAGTAAGTACTTTTATTGCCATTAATTCTATGGATTGCTATGCATACTCTAAAGATGAGTGTGTAAATTATTCCCTTAATTTGCTTATAATTTACGTTATTTATGGGTATAATCCAAGAAGTGAGTAGATAGAAACCCAAACGGATCAGCAGCTTATCCCCTTAACCACTAACTACATTTTTCAAAAATCTGTATTAATATCCAGTAATTGAATAATTAGCATTTTGCCAATACTAGATACCTTTAATGATTTTATTGAGTAAAGGATGGTCATTCTCTTGAACTTTTAAAAAGAGTTCTGATTTACTAAAATGCTCTTTTTAAAACCTACTGACCAACACAACAAGTAACTGTAGAGAAAAATTATCTTCTTGCTTCCCCCATAATTAGGAAGGCCTGGCCCCACCTTTCATTGAGTAATATTATTATAATTGAAGAAAATAAGATATAGTGGATATATGTAGGCATCATGTTTGATTTCAAGAGCTTGTTTAAACTAAAATGTTACAAAGAATAAACCAGTACTCTAGAAAGCGTGTTTTCTGATTTTTACCTGTTTCAGATATAAATATTGAGACTGATTACAGGAGCTCGCATAGAAATGCCCATTGATAGAGTAAGTAAAATTTATATATAGTTGTGAGCAAAATAAGAGTTGAATGGGTTCTATTTTTATCTGGTGTTAGAAAACTCAAAATCAGTATGAAGACTTAATAGTGAAGTTAAATGTAGTTCTCCAAATATATGGTTATTCTGAGTAATTGACTGAAGAAAAGAAAAATATGTTAAATATTAGTACTCACTTAAATATCTTATTCCATTAGTATAAAGACAGTGTATTCACACTCACATATTCATTTTTAAATTTCTGACTGCATAATGATTTCAGTTTTATGGTTTCATATTCTTAAATGAGCAACATTCAGCAGAGCTGTTTAACTCTTACATTAAAATATTCACACTTAAACTATAAATTAAGCATTTGATATAAGTTTGCCAAGCCTGATATATTCTGTCTTATTAAAGAAACTCACCTTATCTCTAGGACCAATGATGAATTGATTTTCCAACCTTCTACAGAGTGCTGGAAGATTGAAGAGCCAGCCTTTCGAATGATTTTATCAGAACTATTGACAAGAGATCGACTCAAACACAGTTCACCATCTCTGAAACAAAATAAAATGCCAGCTTTGTGAAAGTAAGAAGCATTCTGTCTAAGTAGCGTAATACATAATTTGATTTAGATTACTAGTGTCAAATTATAGGTACAACTTTTTCTACATGTTACAAGAAGAGGTTATGACCATGATAAAAAGTATTCTAAAGATTGAGTGAATATGATAAAATACAGCCAATTTTATATAAACAAAAAGGCTTTAACAGTAAAAGAAGCCATCAACAATACAAAAAGGTAATTTACTGAATGGAAAAATGTATTTGCAAATCATACATCCAATAAAGTGTTAATATCCAAAATCTATAAAGAATTCTTACAACTCAACAACCAAAAATAACCCAATTTAAAAATAGGCAGAGGATCTGAATAGACAATTTCCAAAGAAGACATATAGATAGCCAACAGACATATGAAAAGATGTAGAATATTGTTAATTTTTAGAGAAATGAAAATCAGAACCACAATGAGACATATCACCTCACACCTGTCAGACTATCTATTATCAAAAAGTAAAAAAAAAAAAAAGGCAAGGGAAAGAGGGGGGGGAAGGCAAAGACAAATGTATTTAAAAAGTAAATAAATTAATTAAACAAGTATTGGAGAGGATGTTGTGAAATGGAACTCCCTTGTACACTGTTGGTTGGATTGTAAATTGGCGTAGTCACTATGGAAAATAGTATGAAGATTCCTCAAAAATTAAAAATAGAACTACCACATAATTTAATTATTCCATGTCTGGCTATTTGATCCAAAGAATATGAAAACACTATTTTGAAAAGATATACCGGATATGTCCAGAAAGTATCCAGCCAAGCACTATGAAAAATAGAGACATTTATTGAAGAAGACACAAGATACAAGAAACATTGTATGTAGGACAATGATGTCTTAGTGCTCTTCAAGACAGGCACCTTGGGACCTCACATAGCTCTCCCAATTGTCATCAACTGCCCTGTTGTATTTTCCTAAATCTTATTGACAGTCTGAAACCTCTTCCCCTTCAAGGGCAATTTTAGTTTTGGGAAAAACCAGAAGTCACAGGGCACAAAATGTGGGTTGTAGTGGGGTTGAGTTATCTGGGTGATTTTTATGTTTCACCAAAAACCCTGCGCAAGATGTGATATCTAAGCAGATGTGTTGTAAGGAAGGTGCCAACCACCAGTTGCTCATAGCTGCAGCCTTCTGAATCATCCAAATAGTTTCCACAGAGGAATGTTCAACTTAACACAAAATTGGATGCAAATTCATTATTCTACTTACTCAGTCATTCTGAATGCCATGGCCACACAGTACACATGCCTATTCAATGGCACCTACCTCTTCTACTGACTAGTATAGTGAAGTCATCATTGTTCATGCCCATGCATTCCAGTCCACTCTCATTGGCTGCCAGGTTACATCGATGTTATGCAAACCATTCTCATTATATTAACAATGGTTCTGCTTTTTCTGGATAGACCTGTTATGTACCTCTATGTTCATAGTGGCATTATTTAAAACAAATAAGACATAATAATATCCTAAGTGCTAAGTGTCTATCCACAGATGAATGGATAAAGAATATGTGATTGAGATACACACATACACACAAACACAAAATGAAATACTACTCAGCCATAAAACAAGGATAAAATCTCATCATTTGTGACAACATGGATGGATACTGAGGCTATTTTTCTGAATGAAATAAGTCAGATGGAGAAAGACAAATACCCTATGATTTCACTCATACGTGGAAAGGAGAAAGCCAAAACAAAAAATAAATAAATAAAAACAAACTCATAGAAGCACACAACAGATTGATAGTTACCAGATGGAAAGGGGATGGGATTAGAGTGAAATGAGTAAAAGAGGTAAATTGTATGGTGACAGATGGAAACTAGACCTTTGGTAGTGAGCATGCTGTAGTGTATACAGATGTTAAATTATAATGAAGTAGTATATACAAATATTAAGTTATAATAAAGTACACCTGAAACTTATATAATGTTATAAACCAATAATAACCCTTGTAAATCAATGTAAACCAATGTTACTAGATAAAAAAAATAAGAAGAATCCAGAAAACAGGCCTTTGTGGTATTTAAAGAAAAAGATCTCATCAAAGCTCTGTTCCCTTTTAGCCCATCCCTATCCACTGTGTTTAGGCAATAAAGACAGGATGTTTGGCCAGTTCTTCCACATCTGTATACTTGGGATTCCCAAGGTTGTAATTTTATTTTCACAGAAGGCACATATGCATAATGGAGAGAGCTTTTGTTTTGGAGTAAGAAGACCTTGGAATATCAAATGATCTGGACATGTTAGTGATTCTATCACTTGCTAGCCTGTATGACCTTGTACAATATTTTCTTTCTAGGCCACTAAGTCCTTATCTTACCTTGAAAATTGCAACAACATTATCTAATTTGCAATGACTTTGTGACAATTAAGTGGGACTCTGAATGTGAAAGTAATTTATAAAGCACTATTGACATGTTAATTTCTAAAAGTACTGTTGCATCATCTCAACAAAAGTCACTTTCCTGATGGTGGTGAGGAGACAGAGACTGAAGAGGATAGAAAATTCACTGAGTAGCCTTTATTACTGATATATTCCAGTATATCAAAGGAATCAACTATGCTACTCCCCTCAATTAACAATGTCATTCAAAAATGCCATGTGTCATGGTAGTAGCAGGGGCATTAGAAACACTGATGATGGTCACAGAAACCGATGATCACATTTATACCATTAGAATATCATTAATAGCTGAACTAGTTCATTGTTCAAGACTATCTTCTTGGTACTTTATAGGTATAAACCCAAACTTAGAGAATCTAAAAGCTACCTGTTTATGGCATAGCCCTTTCAACATCTGCTTATATTTCTTTACATATTATCTTTTTTTTTGAATTTCAAAAATATAATTAAAAATAACATGACTATTTGCTCAATCAGAAAGTTTAAATCTGTGTTTATTACGTAGGCAATCCTCTCCTTCATCAATGGAAACAACGCTTGTGCAGCAGCTGTTAGAGGACTTCTGTAATTGGAGGCTTATAGTTTGGTATTTTGGTCTACATTCTTTTTTAAACATGTACTTCCAGTTTGAAGCAACTCAAAACATCATATGCAACTACTCCCTGTAAAATTTATAACTCTGTAAAAATCAATATTTAAACAATCTTTTTGATTAAAATATTACATTGGCATGTTTATGCATAGCTAGTAGTGATTTTTAGAGGTCATTTAGGATACAAGAAAACATTTGAAGCAATTTATCACTCAGTCTCCAGAGTCTATTTTTATATTACATTTCTAAAGATAATAACTACAAGTGAGTGAAAATGTGGATATACACAGAATTTAACCTTCACACTTTTGGAGGTATGCCTTTAAGGGTATGGCACAAACTCTCACTATTTCTAGGGGTAGGAATGTTTCCAGTCTTCATCTTGTTAATAACTGGCCTTTTAATATCATTTTTTTCTAACCCAGATTAGTATGATTATAAAAATTATTTTCACCACCAGTAAATTTTTATGAGAGAAGTAAAAAAAATATACACAGGCTGACATTTTAAAAATATCCATGGAAGACTGCTTTACTAATATAGATGTTGATACATTTTTACATGTCAGAATGATTGTTATGGTGTACCTAGCTGTATGGAACTTTTTCAGAACCTCTCAGATTTAAAATTAAAAAAAGTAGTTTAAGTTTAAATCAGTTTTATATTAATGAAATGCTACTATATTACTATGCTGTTTGAATTATTTTTCACTGAACTGGTGATAAATCAAATTTCAGACTTTTATCTCTGGAAAGGATTTTGAATGAAAACAGCTACAACTAGTTCATTTCTTGGAGCCAAAATTCCTGTGTGGGCTTAGTGCAATATGAGGCTCTGGAGCAAATTTCTTTTGCATAAAGCTAAATGGATCCCAAGAGATTTTTCACTTGTGACCTTGGTATCATTCTGTTTTAGAAAAGGCTTTTCCTTCCTGTAAATACAAGGCATGAAGGATGTTACCACCCCCTCTACGAGTTTGTAATTCCATATCAGACAAAACTACTTAACAGCTACACTGGAAACATTTCTTGCATACTTGTTATATACAGGAAGATTCAGCATGTGCTCCTTGAGGGAAAATTGCAAGACATATCAAGAAAATCATGAGCATAAAGCAATATATATTATAAAGTATTCCTGCTTATATAGAGCTAAGAGAAACCCTGTTAGATATTCATCTATGGAATACGAGTGACATAATCAATAGTTATGTTACTAATATTTGCAAATATTTTTCTACTTGAAATATGAGTTGTTAGGCATCACTCTGATTTGTTTTATTAATTCTGCAGAATATAACAAATATGATTAATTTTGCTTTATGAAATTAGGTCCCAAAAGCCTTGCATTCATCCACACTGAAAAACTCTTCATGACCTGGTTTTTGAATGAGTGTGTTTCCTTTGGACTATGTTAAATCTCCTCTTTAATAAAATACTTTCAAAGTCATTTAAAACAGAAGAACTGGTATCCAACTAAGTCTGAACACAAACAGCAGGCATGTTTCTGTTTTAATTACCTGTGTCAAACAACTGAAAATAAAGATGACAGATGTACTACCTTAACTTATTGCTTTATCGTTTTTAACAGAGTTCCAAATATTACATTTGAAGAAAAGCGCGGGTTCTGGGTTTCCTGATTTATGAGAGTGTATTCTATCATAGAACAATCTGGAAAGAACTTTGCTGACAGTGCTAATACTCTAAGTATGAATGTTTATCTCCATAGTCAATTCTGTCATAAGTTTTAGAACTAATACTGGTAAGACAACATAAGGAACACAATCAAATTAAAAAGATCTCTAGATGATAAAATAATGTAATTTAGAGTCTCATTTGTGGTCAACCAGGAAAATGGTATGTTACAAATTTTAAGGAATTACAATCAAAACAAATATTTGTATGATATTAAAGTTTCTGTTACACTCTCAAATACTTTGTCTCACCAAGTAAGTATACCCACATATTTTCATCTGTAGGACACTTAAACACATTTCCAATTATATCCACATAGCACACACAAAGCCAGTGAAATCATGGGCCAATAGTAGGGTAAGTACCATTTTTTTCCCGTTAAGAAAAATGTCATTCAAGAATAGGCAACTTCATACCCCCGATGCCCTTCGAGTTCAACTTTATTAACTGGTATCATGCCAGGCAATTAATAAGTTAGCATGGAAGGAAATACCGGTTTTAAATGTCTAACAACTCCTTGATCTATTCTCAAGCAGTCCTTTACAAAAACCATGTTGCTAGTATTCCTGTGGACATATGAGAAGGTGGATGGTTGGTAGGGAAGTTGTGTTGGTGTTCTCTTTTCTTCTGGAATGACAGCTCAACATTGTGTCTAAGAGTAACACTGTGTATAAGTGACTCTAGATGGGTCCTTCAGTTAAGAGAAGCAAACGTCCAATTGACAAAGAAACTGCCTGTGTATTAAAACATGGTAGCAGGGAAGCTATGTGAATCTAGAGGGATGTTCTATGAGGAATATGGAAGGCCCTTAACTGAATCTGCTGCCCACTCAGAAGGCATGCAGTGCCCCCCAAAGGTCAGAGACTTCCTCTCTTATCTCACTTTTGAATACTGGCCTGGGTTCTGGGGCCAACACTCCATTCTGGTTTACTCATCTCGAAACTAGACCCTCTACTTGGCTCGGGTAGAGTCAACGAGGTATCGTTTGATGAGTCAACTCCTCCACCAGAGACACTATTTGGGAATTGAAATCATGAACTAGTACCACAAGCTTTTCCGCTGAATGTTTTATCCTGAGTGAAGACTGGCTGTCCTCGCCTTGCCCCCCGCAGCACCAACTCCCGGATCTCAGGGAAGAGCCCGGGGCGGCCCAGCCAGGACACTGCCCTGCACGAATAGAAGCGCAACGCCGGCAGCTGGCTCTCTGTCTCATCCTGCACACCTGTAATTGCGGGTTTTAATTAAGGAGGCTCAGGGGCCGGCTGAGCAGGAAAAGTGATGTTCTTTTAAGGGGGCCCAATCTTGCAATAAAGGCTTCGCCCCCACCCTCGCAGCCCGTCTCCTCACTCATTCTTCCCCCCTCGCTCCCCGCTCTGGAGAGGAGCAGATAGAGCTAGATAGAGCACGCCCAGCTTCCTGGAGATTAACTCCACGCTCGCCCCAGGCTTTCTCGAGGGGGAAGGGAGGGCGGGGCGGGGGGCAGGCAACAAACTGCAGCTCAATCCGAAAAGGGTGCGAGCGAAACCCAGCCGGGCCAGCCCAGCCGCCACGCCTGTGGCTGCCCGCCCCTCGTCCCCAGCGCTGCGGGCAGCGCCCACCGGTCCGCGGTGTCCCGCGAAGGGCCACAGCAGCAATATCGCCCCTGAAACGTGGAGCGTCCCAGGTCTGTTATTTCCCCGGAGTGACTAGACCCGGGGCGCACGCTTCCTTCCTGCCGCCCTGTCTGGGGAGGCCCGGAGAGGGCATTTTGGCAGCATGTGGTGCCTTCTCTCGCTTCACTCGTCCCGCCCACTACTGCTCTACAGGGTAGCGAGCTGTGGGCCCGAACCCTCGGAGTCCTGGCGAGGCTTGGCCGCTTTGTCTGGGCTCAGGCTTGGCTTCCGAGCCCACTAGCCCGGTAGCGAACAAAGAGCCTCGACCCCCACTCTCCTGCCTCCTCCTCTCCCCCGTGCGCCGGTTCATCACCTCCCCAAAGACCCCTTTGTCTGCCTGGGAAGCGCAGGTCTGCCAGGGATGCCCTCACGCCCTGCCCCAAATCCTTCTTTTCTGAATATTGAGCTAAGTCACATTTGCAACCCACCCACTCCCTGTGTAACGACCTCATAGAGTTCAGCATTTCCCCCCGCCCGCCCCCAGAATAGACCATATATAGATTTGTTGATGCATAACGCCCATCGAGGCCATTCCTTACTAGCTTTTTCATTCTGTTCCAGTTCCTTTCGACTATACTTACGGCTTAGTTTTCTATAAAACAGCAATTCCTTCTGTAAGGATAAGCTCGTATCTTGCCCACTTAAATGCTCATTACTTAAGGAGGAACAGGAATATTAACAAATGGAGTGCATGAAGTTCGTGTGTATGTGCACGTTTTAGCAGTCCTATCTGCCCCCCCGCCCCCACCACACACACAGAGGCAAGGATTCTAACTTAGTTCTAATAAATGCCTAGAAGAAATAAAAACCAAGCAGTTATCTCTGCCAGTGTGGAGTTTCCGATAGCGGACGCCTCCGGATGAGGGAAGATTTCCAAAACAGGACTTTGAACACAGTTGACAACCAGGTTCACATCCTCAGAAAACGCTTCCAAGCCCTGTAAGCAACACAAAGTTGCAGCCACCCCACTGGGTAAACTTCAAAGACACCGAGGCCAGGAGCAAGGAGGGAGGAAGGAAGTGTGATATTTAGAGAACTTAGTGGCGTGGGGGAAATTTTTGAACTCATCTAGACAAGAAAAAAAAAAAAAAAACTGGCAGAAATACAGACTGTGAAGAAGCTAAAGTACCCAGTTTCTTAAAATCTAACGGTCACGCCTATGCGTTTTATCCACGGAAGGGCACATAAGAAAGTATTCTTGTTTGTACAGGAGTTTGTAATTCAAACTAAGATACGCAGATCTACCCCACGCCAAAGAAGAGTAAAGATAGGGTGGAGGCACATTTCCTGCTTTCTGAGCTTTAACTTCAGCCTTTCCGAAAGCCAGATTTCTCTAGCATCTCCTAGAGTGATAAGGTAGAGAAAGAACGGCAGCCAGATGGTGAATAAAAACATCTCGCTCGAGTTCTGCCCACGGATCAAAAGACAAGGGCACACGTTCTTTGTTGACACTTCTGCAGTGACTTCCCCTTTGGCGTGTGAGCCCGGCGCCAACACAACTGTCAGTGCCACCAAACAGCAATAAGTTGAACTCTTAGTGGGAACATGCCTAGAGAAGCACGCGCGCGACACACACACACACACACACACACACACACACACACACCCCTCAACAATTGCCTTTGTTATTTAATCTACGGGACTAAACACACACAAGCTCATAGGAGCACACATGCTATCCCAACCCTCACTCTATTGTCTATATTCACATTTCATATATGGCTTGACTTTTTGTCATATCCTGAAATGAAGCTTTGCATTTACCCGATGAGTTGCGTCTCCTGGTGCTCCTCAGTTCTTGCTATTTCTTTTGTCTTATAAAAGATCAGGAGCAGACTTATCGTGCAGATCGTCCACCTCTTTCTAATGGAGCGCATCTTGGGTGCCCAGGAAAGTAGTGGTTGCCCCAGCTCCCGCGCCTTCTCTGGATATAAAAGCTCCTCTTTAGGGGATATAGTCGCAGGAGGTGGGGGGCGGAATCCGTAAAATGTGAGGAGAGCGTGGAGCCGGGATCTCCGGAGTAGGTCGCCAGGGTCCTCTGCGGCCACGCTCACACTGGTGCTCGAGCGCTGCCCAGCGCTCTCCCTCGCGGTTCGCGCCAGCCCTGCCGGGTCGGTCCGTGCTGCCTCCCCTCGGGCTCAGATTTCTTTAAAGACGAGACATCTTGTGCTTTGAAGGTGACGGCCGCTTCTGCAGCTGGGTTCGGGGTCGTCACTGGCCCTTCCCTTTTCTTAGCAGGCAAATGATGAGCAAAAAGCAGCCAATCAACGCACTGAGGAGGCGGAGGCTGCTGTTGCCTTGCTTAGCTGGAGGCTGCTTGGAGAGTACAGTTGCCGGTTCTGTCTGCACTGTGCTGGGAGAGATAACCTACAAGCTCATAGTGATACGCATACACACCAGCTCACAGGAACCGCCACTCCTACACCCCGGGGAGAGCTCCTTACTACAGGCGGGAGTCAGGCGGCTTTCGAGAACACCCGAAGCGTCAGCTCCCTGGACAGCGTAGCGCTGAGACAGCCTGTCCGCATCAGCGTGGAAAGAGCACTTCAGCTGCGGACAGATTAGAGACGCTTCGCGGTGGAGAAATCCTACACTTAGAGCTGGGGGTGCGTTGCAAGAAAGGTCGATTCTTCCAAGCACTTTTGCTGAACATACACACGTATGCATCCTCACGCCTTCCAAGAAGAGTGAATTGCAAGGGAGGGCGAAGGAGGAGGAAGAGGACGTTTTAAAATCTGTACACAGCTCAATCTGGAAAGTGTAAAATCACACATGCATGCATGAGCCTATCGCCCACTCAGGGTGGGTGGTAGATAATGATCCATATTCAGGATAGTGTAGGAAACAAGTGATGTCAAAGGTGTCATTAGGCACTTTATGTATATTTATGTGACTCTCGTTGTCATTTGGAAACTCCTTGCGCAGAAGAGAAGGAAACTTCAATCCCACTTAAACTTCACTGAGGAGACACAGGATTCTGAGAAAAAGTAGTCATCAAGGACTTTCTTTTTAAATACAAGGACATCCACACAGGCGAGGGAAAACAGGAAAGAAGGCAGGAAGGGAGGGAGGGAGGGAGGGAAGAAAGGAGGGAGGGAGGGACAAGCTCTTCTCCAAAAGTCTCAATGATGCGTATTTATCCTCTGATCTTCACCCTCTGCTCCCTCCTACTGTCTCCTCAGTTCTATTGCATTATGTTCTATTTTTCCCGTCCTGGGTTCCAGTTTTCATTCTGAGTGTTTCCCCACTGCCCTTTGGTCCTCTCCCTCACCCAGACAGAAGCTTGCTGTCCTGGTTTTCCCACACTGTGGTTTGGCTTTTCTCCAGGAGGCAGGTGGGGTGGATCAGGAGGCACCCCTAGCGGTGAAACAGTGCCTGCAGGCCAGGATTTCCCCCAATTTATGAGTGAGGATTCCACTTCTTTCTCTCCCCACCTGCACCACTAACTTCCCAACTGAATTTCTTGTTTTTTTTTGAGGTTGAGCAGCGGCTCTAGCTCATCCCCTCTAAGCCTCTTGGGGTTTACACCTCCACAAGCCAAGACAGGAAGTGGTGAGGCCCAAAGCCAATCTTCTGCTGAAGCAGAGCAGGAAAAGGAGCTATGAGTTAACAGACCCATGACAGGGGAAAATAATGATAAGCTCCAGCTCTTTTGAATAAAAAGAAACCAGGCCCCCAATAATGTTTGACATTCTTTTCCTAAGGTTTAGGAAGTTAAGAACTTCTCAGTTCTGGAGCCTCATATTCACAGCAGAGCGAATTAGGGGAGTTGGGTCTAAAATGCTCAAAGGAGCAAGTAATTATGAGCCTTTATTGACACTGTAAGTGGCCCGCTGGGAGCCTTTCAAGTTTATTGATGTCTAGGCAAATCCTACTTGCATTAATGCATCTCTATCACACTGACTTCTCAACTTGAAGAAACTGCAAGAACAAAAGAGCATATTTAAATTAAAAGGGAACTTGAAAGGGGAGGACCTGGGCAATGCATTAGGATGCTAAATTCTAGTTATAGGAATACTGAAGACATTTAAAACAATTAACAGATATATTTTAGATTTTAAATAAAACACGACTTACTGATGGAGATGGTGTAATATGCATCACTTAAATTTGTCCAACATATCTTGAGCTAGTACTATGGGCCAAACAATGTGAAAGACACATAAACATACAGGTGATTAAAATATAGCATCTAACCAAACATGAAATTCATTCATTAAGAGAGCACAGAGTGTAAAAGAAATAAGTTGCTATATGGCACCATGACTAACAGAAGCATTTGAAGCATTTACTTGGTATCTTGGGTAAGCTACTGGGTAGAGGCAGATGGAGAGTTTGAGTTTTGGGCAGCAAGGAAGGCGAGCTTCTTGGGGTATGGCATGCAAAGCTAGGGAATGAGCCAGTCAGAGGGAGAATAGGACATTGCAAGCAGAGGAAAGAGTATGCGTGACTTCTGAGAGGAATACAATGCTGTGCTTCGGGGAATTTTGCAGTTCAATACTGTGGGAACAGAAAGTGGGAAGGAAGAGTAGTGGGACACAGTTTTTGGGATGAGCATAATATTCTACAGTCCCACAATGTCCACCTGGGTCCTCTAATGGGAAAATTGCAACAAGAAAGTCTTCAAGTATCTTAAACTTTAAGTTAAATTAAGGGGAACTGTTCACCTGGCCCTAACCAAACAAAACAACCTACCGACAACAGAACAAAAGTACGCCAAGCACGTGTTACAGAAACACAGAAGATATATGTAGACATCTAGAAGAGAAAAAAAAACCCCAGAATGCCCCAATGATATAATGCCACTATTTCTAAATTTGTTATGCATGGCGCCTTTTATATTGAGGTAAACACTTCTGAATGATTGATAATGGTTCAGGGATACCCAAAAGCTTTCCCTTCCCATATTTGAACAACTTAGTGTTTAGAGTATATTTTAATGTCATTTGCTTAATATTATTAGATTCATGAAATATGCATCCATACTTGGCAAGTTAATCAAAAACATACAGGCCAACACTTGGGTCAAATTGAGGATAGTCTGGTTCTTCTCAAAATGCAATTAGGTATAAGAACTGTAAAAATAAATATTGTGTAAGAAGTCTTATCACACAAGAGCTTTTGGACTCATTTCTTTCCATTAGAATGCCTGTTTTGATGACCCTGGGAAATTAAAGTTGTTCCTAAATTTCCACTCTATCTTTGGACTGTAAGTTCCTCAATAAAGAGAACACATTTGTCTTTATTCAGCACAATTCTGCAATTATGCAATGCCCTATGAATAAATAATACAAGTAATGGCAGCTGCTTTTAAAATGCTACTTTATCCTTTAACTTAATGTAAATCATGTTTTAATTGCTGGCTGTTCCCTCAACTTTAACTACAAAGGAGTGAATAGACAATTGGAATCTCATAGTGGGGGTTTCAATGGCCCATGACAGTTTTCTTTTAATAGACTATTTTTTTAGGGCAGCTTTAGATTTATTTTATAGCAATATTGAGCCGAAAATACAGGGACTTCCCATTTCCCTTCACCTCCAAACACACACAGCCTCTCCCACTGTCAACACCCCACACCAGGACAATGTATTTGTTAAAATCAATGACGCTCCATTGACATCTCATTGTCGCCCGCAGTCCATAGCTTATAGTGAAGTTTAATCTTGGTATTTCACATTCTATGGACTCTGATAAATGTGTAATGATATATAAGCACCATATTAAGTGGGTTCACTGACTTAAAAATCCTTTGTGCTCAGCTTACCCACTCCTCCCTTCCCCACAAACCCAAAGCAGACATTGATGTCCTTACTGTCTCCATAGTTTTGGTTTTCCAGACGTTATATGGTTATAGTTATACACTATGTAGCCATTTATGCTAGCTTCTTTTACTTATTAATATGCTTTAAAAATTCATCCATATTTTTTGTGGTTTAAATGCTCATTTCTTTTCAACACTGAATAATGTTCTATTGTTTGTATATACTGCAGTATTCATCCAAATACCTACTAAAGGACTGCTTGGTTATTTCCAAATATTGGCAATCATAAAGTTGCTATAAACATCCATGTGAAGTTTGTTTTGTGTAGACAAAAATTATCAACTCATTTGGGTAAATATCAAGGAGTATAGTTGCTGGTAAGATTGATGGTAAGATTATGGTTAGCTTCATAAGAAATCTGAACTGTCTTTCAAGGGCTGTATTATTTTCTATCCTACCAGCAATGAATGAGAGTTTGTATTTCTTCATATTGTCACCAGCATTTGGTGTTTTTGGTATTTCGAATTTTGACGAGTAAATAGGTGTTAGTGATGTGTCATGGTTGTTTTAATTTGCACGTCCCTGAACAAAAAGGCATGGAATATCTTTTCATATGCTTATTTGCCATCTGTATATCTTCTTTGGCAAGATGTCGATTAAATATTTTACCCAATTTAAATTGGGTTTTTCATTTTTTTATTGCTGAATCTAAGAGTTCTTTGGTATATATTGGATAACAGTCATTTAATACATGCTTTTCAAATATTTCCTTTTAGCCCATGCTTTGTTTTCTCATTCTTTCTACAGTATCTTTCACAGAGAAGATATTTTAAATATGATTAAGTCCAGCTTATCAATTATTCCATTGTCAAACGCAAGGTCATCTAGGTTTTTTCATCTGTTATCTTCTGGGATTGTTACAGTTTCCCATTTTATATTAGGCCTACAGTTTATTTTGAGTCAATTTTTAATGAAAGGTGTAAAGTATATGTGTACAGTCTTCTTTTTTATTTTTATTTTTTTCTATGGGGGTGTCTAGTTGTTTATTGACCATTTGTTGAAAAACATCATTTCTGCACTTTGCTGCCTTTGTTCCTTTGTCAAATATCAGTAGAATATACTTTAATGGGTCTATTTCTGATATTTAATCTGTTCCATTGATCTATTTGTATTTTCTTTCACAAATAATCACATTGTCTTTATTATTGTAACTTTATAGTAAGTCTTGAAGTCTGGTAGCTTTAGTCCTCCAACTTTGTCCTTTTTCAGTATTGCTGGCTATTTTGTATCTTTTGTCTCTCAATATAAGCTTTAGAATCAGTTTGTCAATATCCTCAGAAATAACTGGCTGGGGGT